CGTTTTAGGTTTCGAGCCAAGTTCGAGCATGAATAAATCGGGCTCTGTAACGGGACTGTTAAGCTATTACTTCATATGCAATTCAAGTTGTATTATCATTGGCCTCGTTTGGGAAGTGATTATCTTTTAGACTTTTGGATTATTTAACTATTTTAATAGGCTATTTTAATTTGTGTGTTTAGGAAGTTAGATTGAAATATTTTTAAATGATTGTATAGAAAAAAGTGATTGATATCATATTTTGTTCTGAAATGACCAAACTGCACCTACATAACCGAGCTGTCATGTTCCAATCTAGGCATTTAGCTTGCTGACGTGAGACGGAAGGATCTTGCACATCACCATTTTTTTTTTTTTTCAAATTTTAAACAGTGATAACGGCTCCAATTGCTGAATCTGGGCAAAAAAATTGAAGGATTATGAATTGGGTGATTTGAATTGTAATTTTTAACACCTACACAGAAGAGAAAAAAAAAATTGTAAAACTTGTAAACAATTAATTACATCAGTCGTGATAGAGGCCTCGAATTCGAGGCCTCGAATTTGCCTCGAAAGTGCCTTTTTTTTTTTTTTTTTTTTGATTTTGTGTTTTTTTTTTTTTTTTTTTTTTTTTTTTTTGGGTAAAAATTAATCAGTCAATTTTATCATCCAATCAAAATGAAATAAAATTTTAAAAATTAATCAGTCAATTTTATCATCCAATCAAAATGAAATAAAATTTTAAAAATTAATCAGTCAATTTTATCATCCAATCAAAATGAAATAAAATTTTAAAAATTAATCAGTCAATTTTATCATCCAATCAAAATAAAATAAAATTTTAAAAATTAATCAGTCAATTTTATCATCCAATCAGTCTAACACAACTCACTTGCAGAATATTTAATTTTTTAGCACATCCCCATACATAAATTGCCCTTGCCAAAAGAAAAGAGAAAAAAAAAAACAAACTAACTGTCTTGAATTAAAAGAAAAAAAAGAAAAAAAAGAAAAGGGATTCGAGGCAGATTCGAGGCCTCTGGCATTTTCCTAATTACATATATCAACAAACCTTCAGCCATTTTTTAAACCTTGCCCATTAATATAATTTATAATTTTTTTAAAATTTATAAATTATTAATAATTATTAATTTATAAATGGTTGTCTCAGTTTATTGATAACCGAGCTGTCACTGAATTTTTTTTTTCAAATACTTTTTTTTCAATTAATTTTTTTAATTAATTTTTTTTTCAATTAATTTTTTTTTCAATTACTTTTTTTTTCAATTAATTTTTTTTTTCAAATAATTTTTTTGTCCATTAAATTTTTTTTTCAAATAATTTTTTTCCAATTATTTTTATTTCAGCTATAATGTGTATGGTCTCATTGTCATAAATAATAAAAATGAAATATAAATAATTTAGGCCTGAACGCGAACTATATTTAGGCTTGAACGCGAACTCTTTTTTTAGTTGATGTTTTAAAAAAAATTCAAACATTTTGTTACCTCTTTTATTTGTAGTTTATGTTTTTCTACAAATAAACAAAAATCAATTTATAAAATTATTAAATTTGTCAGAAAATTTAATTGGTACCAAAAAAATGATGAAATGAGATAGGGCAAAGGCGTGAAATCAGCTGTGGAATAGGTGCAATCTGTATACCCAATTTGAAATAGTCAAAGGGTAAAACGGTAATTGTACCTCATAATGTAACCCAGTTGTACAAACAGCCGCCCTGTTGAAGCTTTGTGGCTATTTTCATATATGAGGCTACAATAGCCTCAACTTTGTTTTCCCAAACAACGCCATTGTGAGACTCTAAAATCTTTTCACATAAATTGTTTGAATAGTTCAATAAAAAGATCAATTTTATCCCAATAAACTGCAAAATAGAACATCGTTGATGCCGACCGATCGGTGGTTTCTGGCCGAAAACACTTTGATGATAAAGTTAGAACTCTTGTTATGAAACAGAAAAGAAAAGTAGATAACTTTCAGTGTGGGTAGGGATTAAGGCATACCTCTCTTTCAAGAGGTGGTCTTCTTTTTATCGATAGGTGTGGTTTGGGTGGCTTAAGAATAAAATTATAAATTAAATGGTGGATTAACGGATTGACAGATTGATAAATTGCGGTTTGAGCGGCTTTGAGTGGATCGCCGGATTGAAAATATTCTAATCAATTAGCGAATTTTTACATAACATATAATACTAACTTGCATAATATTTTTCATATATATAACACAAACTAATTTACATAATTTTTTTCATATATATAACTACTAATTTGTAAAAAAATTCACATGTTAAATTTCTCTCACACTCATTTTTACTTTGATATTTCGTTATAAATTAAAAAAAATTATATGTATTAACTATAACGGAGAGGAGCGGTTTTGAAAACGGATTATAAATATTAAAGTTTAAACCGCAATTAACGAATAGAGCGGTGTAAATTAATACGAATCGGTAGAATTTTAACAAATTTAACGATATTTTGTACAACCATAATAGTTAGCTACTATATGTTTAATATTTTTATTATGTTATATAAGAGGTGACATCAAATAATATCTAAATATAATACTTAAATACAATCACTAAATACAGTCACATAGCTTTACTTATATGCAAATAAACAAGAAGTTAAAACTTTAGTCAACATGTAGCATGCCTTCCAAGTGAGAGCTTAGGGATGGTTTGGAGTTTGTTTATTTAGTGTACCTTTTGATTTTTTTGTGTAAATATGTATAGAAAAATAGAATAATATGACTTAAATAAAAACACTTATTTTCATCACCCTCAAATAACCCCTAATTTACACATTTACATACCTTGTAAATTATTTGAATATTCTAAGTTGTCTTTACCTGATGTAATAATAACTAAAATTTCTAAAGAATTCTATTTGCACTCAAAAAATAATTAAGTATACTTAATTTCTCAATACATTCTATTCAATTATTTAGAATTATAATTTATTCTCAATACACTTTAATTTTTTTTTTGTCAAATTATCCTTCAAAATACACCCAAATAATAAACGAATCAAAAATTCTAAACCTCTTTCACATTCACATGAGTTAGCTTGTTTATCTTGATTCACCACTAGTGGTTTCAACTCTTGTTGCCGGTTTCATTTCAATTCCTTCTTGCGACGACGGAACATCATGGGTGTCCATTCTATATATTTAAAACTGGCTGTATTTTGTTGGAGATTAGAGAATAGATTTTAAAAAGAAAAGGAAAAAAGTTTATGAAATTATGTGGAATATAAGTATATTTTATTCATATTTTACTTATATTTTTATTTTCCTTTTCTAAATTTCTTCATAAATTCCTCAACCAAATATAGCTTAACCGTTCAAAAAATAAAATTACACGTAGCCACACTAGATCTATTAAGTTTTTTGATACTTGCAAAACAATAAACAAAATTTCCTCTAGAGAATCATGTGTGTGTGAGAGGGAGAATAAATGGTGTGTTTGGTTGAGGGATTTAGGTAGGGATTTGGAAAGGGAAAGGGAAAAGGTGTGTGAAACTAGGTAAAATGTAAGTATATTTTATTCATATTTCACTTAACTTTTCCTTTTCCCTTTCTAAATTCCTCCTCAAATCCCCCAGCCAAACACAGTGTAAATAAGGGAATAACGGATTTGATATATATATATATACATATATGTATATATATACGTATATTTTGTGTTTATCACGGTCCGTTATCTAGGAAAATCAAGCAATATTCTGGTAAAGGATTTGAGTAAAATTGTTAGGTCGTCAATTGATTATATATAATTTCTATAAACATTAAAAATACAGTAATATATGATATATATATATTTTTTAATGTTTTGTATTCTTGTTAAAGTAGAAATAGGTCGAAGAATATTGTGACCTCAAAGATTTTTGGTGGGGTGAGTTGGAATTTTAAAAGAAATAAGAAGATAAAGAGAAAATAATTAAAACTTAAAAGAAGATAAAAAGAGTTGAATATAAAAAAATAAAAAATAAAAAAGGTATGAATGATTTGAGTCTACCGTGAGAAAAAAAAAATTTTATTTTAAGATTTAATTTGTTTTGTCCTTATTGGTAAATTTAAATTAAAATATAATAGAAATTGAGATTTTAAATTTTAATTAAACGTACTGAATTATTATTTGAGTGCAAATAGAATCCCAAAAATTTCTTCATGGACTAAAAGAAGTTTTTGCAAAACCAAAAATTAAGATTTAATTTGTTTGGGTTTTTTTTTATTTTTTTCACTAAAAGACAAAAAATTTACAAAACAAAAAAAAACACATCCAAACAAAATATCGCATCTAACCTCATAATCATTTCACTTTTTCTTTCACAAACATCACATCCAACTACAAAAAAACCCAACTATCTTCCCAAACATCAAAAAAATTTTATCCGATAATATCTTACAACTAAAAAAAATTTACATAAAAATTCACTTCCCAAACACCCACTATGTGTTAGCCCAAAGATCATTCACGTATTGGTCAGCCCATTGGAGAAGTTATTGGTTAGTTTGGGCCACTGTCATTTGGTGTTTTAATGGTGTTTTAATAGTGTTTTAATGAAAGAAGGTGGGGTCAATGAATTTATATAGTAATTAAAGATTATAAGATGGTTTAATAGTGTTGTGATTAATGCAGGATATATGAATTTGTGTTGGATAATTAAAAAATATGAAAGATACAATAAATTGTATTTAAGAATAGTTTGGGATGATCTAAATAAGTGTATTTTTTGACTTTTTATGAAATATGGATTGAATTAAAAATGATATGATAAAAAGGTAATGTAATTTAAATAAGATGATATGACTTAAATAAAATAATAATTTTTTGACTTTTTAAATTTTTTAAAACACCTCAAACAAGCCGTTAGTGTGAAATATAGCCATGTAACCAATTATCCACCCAAAAAAGGCCACGTAACCAATAATTTTTCCAGCCCACTGGGGTATCAAACCCGGCCTAATTTTTACTTGTCTTCTAGTTCTTCCGCATGGTTTATCGACTCTAGCACCATTTGTCTTGTCTTGTGCATCTGTCGCCTTTTTGATGCTCTGTGAAGAACAACCCAAATTTGTTTTTTTTAACTGAACTTGAGTTTCAACTTCTTCTGGGTTTCAATTATTTCTCTCTGGTTGTTCCATTTTTTTAATTTTATTTTTAAAGATTCTCTTGTTCTTTTGTTACTCTTTGAGTGATGTCTCTATATGAATTGATTTTTGTTGCAATTGATTGATTTTGTTGAGTTGGGTATCTATTTTTCTTGATGGGTACTGCTGCTGCTCAGTGCCCATTTAGTACCAGTGCCCATTTCCATGGAAATTCTAGGGTTTTGCTTCCCAAAGTGGACTTCTCAAGCTTTAATTTTTCTGCCAATGGGGAAATTTCAAGATTGAACTTGTACCCAAGTTCTGCTTCCTCCGGCACTTCCAAGGTACTCAAATACTAGCATTTCTGTGCCCTTGATGAGATATGTTTTGATTGACTCTTGGTTGTCTCTGATTTAGTTCTTGTAAAAGCTTTCATTTGTATTGTAATATATTGAGGATTCATTCTGAATATTTGTTCTCTCTTTGCAAATTGAATTACTTAATTAGGTTTAAGGCTGTGACCCTTGTTAAATTTGTGATCATGATCATATTTGTTTGGTTGTAATTTAGCAGAAATTTATTGGAGTATCTGAACTTGGTTATGCTTGAATGTGGTGGTGGTTGGGAGGTGCTGAGGTGGCAAGGGTTTAGGGAGGGATGGAATTGGCACAAAAGTTTTGGGATTTTGAAGGGGATGGTGTGGCTAATCATTCCTTCAGGTGGTAAGAAACTGGTGACTGGCCAAGAAAAAAAGTTATTGTAGGAGGTGAAGAGAAAGGGCAAGGCAGGATATGATGTTAGGGTTAAGTAGAATCGAGGAAGGAGCTGGGTGCATGGTGAACAATGAAAATTTACTTTATTAGAAAGCTTAAGGAATTTATGACGTTAATTTGGCATAATGCATAGACTCACTGTGCATAAATGAATTGTTATAACAATAACTAGAGAATCTAGGAAGCACTTACTGGAGCAAGTGATGGTGAATTGATGAGCATGCATGAGCTATTATATTAGATGGACTCAAGGACAAGTATCAGAGGGGCAGGTGTGTATCCAAATATCAAACCTTCATTAACCTAAATTTTAGGATATTGGGGTATGTATCTAAAACTTGGATCTGGATATGGGGACAATGTCATCAACATTAAAATATTACATATTGTATAATATTCTTAGAAAAGATGTTGTAAATTATGTATAAATATACTTGAAATAGGATTTAGGAATATGTAATTTCTATCTGTCATCATCCATGTGAAAGGCTATAGATGTTTCTTTACTAGAGAATGTGAGTTTCTTCTTTTTCAAACATTGTAAAAATTAGAGGGTCCAAGTGTCTAAATTTGGATACGGGTATCAAAACATATCCCACACCCTTACTCTTGTCATATCCGGTAGACATAGGCACTTTGGAGGAAATAGAAGAGTCAATGTAACATATGCATGAGTGAACCAAGGAAGGAGGAATAAAGATTAGAAGCAAGAGGACGATGATTAGTCTATTAGGCTCTCCAAGTTCATTTGTGTTGGTTTACTTGTAGTGGAATTGGTCTTCTGCCCCAATAATAATGATAAATAAATAAATTATGGTAACGTATGGCAACATAAAGAGCTGTTGGTAGGGTTCAAAAAGTTTAACAGGCAAGTACATTTTGAAAGTTGTTGATGTAGAATGGCTATTAAGAAATCCATTCAACAATCTAATTGATCACAAAATCAGAAAATATGGAGAATTGATCCAAAAGAGAAGATGAAAGGTTTCAAGAAGAATAAAAAGAGAGGAGAAGAACACAAGGGTCAAAACTCTAATATCATAAAAACAGCCAGAGTCTTAAACTTAATTTTGTTATTTCACTTAGAAGTATGGATACTTCTAAGAAGGTAATGTGTCCGTGTCAAACAAGTGTCGGGCTCTGACACTCCTTGGACACGTGTTTGGTATTCAATTTTTCCATGTCCATAATTAAAAATAAAAATCATAATTTTGGACATGTGTTCGACAGCTATTTTCTGATGTGTCTATCACTTCTTGGCCATAGCTATCACTCAAAAATAAATGTTTGACTTACATTTCTTGGACATTTGCTAACACATAATTTTCAAAGGTTGAGAATTTGACATAAATATATTATACCCTAAAAAAATGTATAATTAGTAAGAATAATCCTATATAAACTTACATGAAAAATGAAAAACATACATAAATGTATTGACAGATGGCTTAGGAAGATGAGGGAAATGTTGCAAATATGTTATGTTTACTATAACTTGTCTAATTTTTAATTACTATGATCCAACAATATTCTGAAAATTCATATAAGAGAATTGGATGCAATTTAGTATAAATAACAGTAAATATTTAATTTTATATATATTATGCACATATATAACTATGTAATATTAATATACTAGGGATAACCCATGCCTAAGGCACTTCCAACAATTTTTTTGATACCACACGCACTACAGAACTTAATTAAAATTAATTAGTTCAGAATGACAACAATTTCACTGCAATTTAAAACTTCACATAAGAAGTTGAAAATGTTTCTACACATTAAACTAGCAAAAACATTCCTAAATTTCAAATAGTTGACTTCAAAATTAAAGCACAAATATCGAATTTTATATTTCAGTGTAGCATAAGCAAAGAATACATGTGATTCCTCATAGAAGGCTAAAGAGCAACCGTACAAAAAAAGAAAAAAGAAAAAAATCCAAGTTTACCAAACAGAATATTGGCAACAAAAGGTAAGAGGCAAAGCAAGCTATTTATTTTCTACCTCAACCTTATTCCCTTCAAAACAAATTGACTTGAGTTGTAATGGAGTATTTTTTGGCTTGAGTTGTAATGGAGTATTTTAGAAATAAATCGATAAAGCAATATATGATTATATGAGGTCCTCTACTTCCTTTTTATATAGTGAAAAAATAGATAATGCCTCCAAATACCTGTTGGAATTACCAAATGCATCAATCTCTACGATCAGGGAATTAGAGTTATAGAGATTGGTTCAATTCCTTCTACTTCCATGAGCTGAAGAACCTTTACAGTCTGTTCACATAAGAAATCATATAATTAAGAATGTTGAATAAATAAGCATTGAAGAAAAAGTTAATTGCAAAAATATATTGATTACGTCATGCATGATTTTATTAGACAGAAAGATGGCATAGATTAAAGAAGAAAAAAAACAATTTACTGGCAAAGTAAAAAATGAGCCTATATCAGATTTACAATCACAACTTATTAGTGATGGGAATGCTGAAATCTTGAAAATCTAAGATCTTATACAATCATTAGTGGTACACTATCCTCTTGTTTCTCCACTGAATCCCATTAAAAGAAATAATATAAAAAATTATGAATGCATTTAAACCAATAAAAAATTAACATGACAGAAAATCCATGGGTATCAAATCCTGTATCTTGTTGTGCCCTTGGGTTAATATCCACTTATCCATATTTTTATTGGAAGAAAAATCCCACACACGCAAAAGCCACAGGAAAAGAAAAAAAAAAAAAAAATCTCCCACATACAGGAATAATTCTGGTAGTCCATCCCTAAGCTTATGAGTATGACAAATCTGGTAAAAAAATTTCTTATTTTTTGATGACATGACAAATCTCATAATTCATAGCAAAACTCATATATATATATATATATATTTTGATCAACAACAAAAGCTTTATTGATAAATCAAAAAAAGAAGAGAGGATAAGGCATCCTCTTACGACAGGACAATGAGAATACAAACACAAAAAACCCCTAACAAGTTAAACACGGGCAAAAGCCTACATAGCACACACCTTTAACCAATCTCTAGCTAACAAAAGAAGTGGGACTCCCTTAAATAAAGAGTTCCTCGACGCCCAAAAAGAAGATAAGTGACAAACATGATCTCACAAACAGCCCACCTCCCGGAACTTATCTTCAAACAACCTCTGATTTTGCTCCATCCATTGAACCCCAAAAGTTGCAAAGACGGCACAAGACCATAGAATTTTGGCTCTCTTCGTTCCTCCGAATGTGCGAAAATCAACTAGGAGCATATGCGCACCCCCTTTTGGAGCAACCCACATAACATTTCCCAAAGAAAACAATTTATGCCATAAATTCAAAGCTATTGGACAATGCAAGAATAAATGATCCACAGATCAAGAATAAATAGCGAAACTCATATTACACCTAATCCTACATTCCTAAACATGTATAAGTGTCCGCATTAAGCAAAGATCACAATGTTGTATTCAATTATTCAAACATGAGGACCTTTGGGTATAATTAGAAGTATAACAATAGGAACTTGACACAACCTACATGTAACATCAAATAATAGTTTAATAGGAATACTAATACTATGAAGCATCAGGTGTTTTGCAGTCTTGAATTAAGATATATATAGCAATCATACTACCATTTTAATTGCTAAAAGATTCAAAAAAATAAAAATAAAAATGCTTCAAGAACCATACCAGTTGATAAGAATTGTATTTAAGACCCATCTTGGGACTAAAAAATAAAAAATAAATATGGGATGTCAACACTTTGAAGGTTGTTGAACCTCTTAAAAAAAAAAAAAAAAAACCTTGTGACAAAATCAACAATTCAAGAAAAAAAATCCTATGACAAAAAGACATTACCAAAAAATAATCTGGTAGTGAAAAAAAGAATATATCAGAAGCAATTCAATAGGCTCACTATCAATCTCCTAACACCACTAAAGTATTTCATTTGGCTCACCCTTAACCTCAATCAAAAGCAATGAAAATGCAATAAAGAAATTACAAAATATTGAAGTAGCTTTGTCAATAATAAATTTCACTGGCATTGTATATGCCAACCAAAGTCAGGATTGTGAGGAAGATACCCATTGAGATTCTACAAATTAACTGAGAGAATTTAGATGTAACTTGTGGGGATGGGTTGAAGTGAACCCATGACGAACAGTACTACAAATTATTAATAGTGAAGAGAATCCATTACCATTGGTCACAATATAAATTTAGAGCCATATAAGCAACAGCCATTCTAAAGGACCTGTATTGGACTCAAATAAAGATTAATTAAAAAATCCAAAAGGACCAAAACTCACTATTGCCAAAAACCTATTATACATTTTGAAATCCAGAACTGCCTTTTTTCATGGATGACAAAGAAATAGAAAAATTAAATTAAATATTGTCCAAATTCTAGAAGAACGTTGTCAGACAACCACAAACAAAAGCCTTCGAATCATCACCTATAAGGTATACACAAATCCCGTATAAGGTATATATCCCTTCAAATGGCCTAACATAGCAAAATAGCCTCATAAAATCAAATTAAACTTACCAATGATA